ATACTTATAGCTGAAGGGCCATGACGTTCCATGAAGCGTCATTAGCGTGTTTGGGTGGCAGCCTCAGCAACCACAATTCCAACCTCCTCTTCCTTCTCCTCCTCCTCCTTCATGCATGCAAGCCTGCAAAAGCATGCAACAAAGACAACCTATCAGCGACTCATTTTAGTCAGAGTGGAGTGGTAGTCAGATAGATAGATATGTAGGTAGCTAGGTAGGCGGGTTATAAATAATTCCTCACCTTGGACGTTTCTCGTTTCCACAGGACGATCTGGTTTTAGTGCTCTGTTTCGTACAAATCACGCGCTTTCACATAAGGCCTTGTCGATTTTGTGCGCTGCCGCCTTTCTCATTCTCATCTGTTATTGTCCGGAAAACTGCCTGATGTTCCGCGGCAGCCGATGTGGGTATCCTTCTCCACCCCCATCTTTTGGCCATCGAGCGCCTGTTTTGAAACCAGATCTTCACCTGAAACAACAACGCACAATCAAGCCGTAGGCGACGAGTCGATGACAATCTTGCACGTCCACACACTTGTCATGCATTCCCCACCCAATGTGTGTCCTCGCGTTAAAACCAAGCGTGCACAAGTGATCTCAGACGAGAAGTCGTAGTTAAGCTGGTTTGTCAAGTCCACGACATGAAAGCGTGAGCACAAGAGACTAATGCCACCTTACATCACTGTGAATGTGGGTTCGAATCAGCTGCAATACTGACGGAGAGATCTGCCCCCCTACCTCCTAACAACATCGTCTGCAACAACAATTTGTCGAATGTAGCATCCGCAAAATAAAGCTGGACTCACCTGTGTTTGAGTCAGGCCGAGTTCGGTAGCTAACATGGACCTCTCCGTGAGGTCTATGTACTGCCTCTGGGAAAACACATCAAGCAGCCGGCGGAGCTGCTCGTGTGTATATTTGGTTCGTGGTTTTCGGGTTCTCATGGGCAAACCCGAAACACTACTTGACCCCCTCACATTTCTTGTATCACGTGCCAACTCTCTGTGAGGTGGGGCATGGCCTTCAACCACCTCGCGACTTTCAGTTTTGGTGAAGAAGATACTGATAGGGGGTAAAGTTATTTGTTGCCTCTTTGGCTGATAATCTCGTTGCTGGATGTTACCAGACGCCTGTCCGTTGGTCTCGTGATGAGAATAAAAGCCCCAATTTGACATTTTGAATCACCGTCAAGACGTGATGTTGTCCACAAAGAGCGTTGAGAGAATGACCACAGCCATCTCCTAGCCAACATTTATCTACCTTCAGTGTGCATGCGCATACCCTGCATTCCACTCCACCAATGACACTTGAGTGGTATTGTGCAAGCGGATTGGCCCCAGTGCACGCCCATACGTTGATTGGCTGACGCTTGCCAATGCAAATCGTGCGCGTTCGAGTGCGAAGCTGCGACGGGCGCGCTTTGCGATTTCAAAGAGAAAAAGCAATGTTCCTTACTTTAACCAAACAAATACTAGGCATAGAATTGGCATTAATCCGCATCAAGGATTTTCACTTTCAACGCCACAATGATGTGCTGGTAAATGTCCATAATCTAGCAACCTAAGCCAATCAAGCAGTTTGCACATTTTTGTCTCCCTGTTTCTCCACATCGTAGTTTACGTCTAATCGCAAACAAAACCGACTAGACAGCCGAGAATCTGGCAAAATTACTTGTTTAATTGTAGGAGACCAAACACGTAGATATCACAAATACAGAATGACGGCGTTCTCAAACATGTTGCCCAGTGCCATGCCCAATATTTGGTGGCTGTTTTAGTTTCCGGAAGTGGTTGTGGTTGTGGTGGTGGTGTTGGTGATGGTGGTGGTGCAAGACGTAGAAATGTTGAAAACCGAGCCTCTCTCCCTCCCGCCCAACCTCCCTCAACAAGGGTTCGTTGGCCTTCTGAAGAAATCGGAGGAGGTTTAGTCTTCTTGTTTTCCGCTTATGAAAATCTGGAGTGTCGTTTACTTGGAAAAAGCTTACTTGTTCTCCATGCACACCATTCATAAATACACTGTATGCGAGCTGAGCATTTGCCGGCCTCACTTGACACAACGCACTTTTGCCTCATACTTGACTCTGACACAACATTTGTGCCTCGAACAAGTGTCCTCAGTCAAGTCAAGTCACTGCATTAGGCTGTGTTTCCAGTTGGAAAACACAGATTGACTCTGTAAACACGCAGCTAACCATTCTGCCTTCACGGAATGCCACGAAATGCAGACATTTCAGTATAAAATGAAGCCACGTCGGCTCATCGTGTCGTTCCTTTGCTTACATGGACAAGTCATCATAAATTCCACAAAGTTCGTCTGTGTAAGCGACACAATGGTTGGTAATTTGATAAATCACAATCCAAAATAAAAATTCAAGAGTGAAGCAAGGCAGCCAACTGTCGAGAAATGAGTTGGAAGCATTTAGCACAACACGAGTGTAATAATAGTCCATTTTGCAGAGTGCGAAGCAATTATCAATGTCCCGAGCTTCCTTCTCGGCTTTATTAATGACCTTGGTGGCAGCAGTGGACGCCTGAAATTTGAAACGGGTGGATCGATACGAGGAGTAA